CCGGACCCAAAAAAAAAAAAACAAAAAACAGAGAAGGGGAGGCTTAGACTGTGGCTTAGTGGTAGAGTGCTTGCCTAGTATGCATGAGGCCCTGAGTTCAATTCCTCAGTAACATATAAACAGAAAAAAACCAAGAGTGGTGTTGTAGCTCAAGTGGCAGACTGCTAGCCTTGAGCAAAAAGAAGCTCAGGGACAGTGCCCCAGGGAGTAAAGCCCCAGGACTGGCAAAAAAAAAAAAAGAAGAAGGAACATTCTAGGTACATGGGTGGGCATATGTAGAGACATGAAGAAAGGACAGGAAAGGATCTGACTGGATTGAGGTGAAGGAACAGGCACTGAGGACATCTAGAGACCTTCCATCACACACAGACCAGATCTACCCAAGTTGGCTTCTTGAAGTCCTCTGAAGTAGACAGGTGTTATTTTGAGAGAAGCTCCTTGTCCAGTGCTGAAGAGAGTCCAAAGAATTAGGAGGAGTTTTACCTTACATTGTTGTTGTTTTTAATCTTGGCCATTACATCCCAGTTTCAACATCCCCCAAGGAAGGTTCCCCCTCCCCCCCACCCCCTTTGGTCTGAGATAGGGACTAGAACTTGGTACTTGACGTGTTTGCTCATTGGCTAGTGTTCTACCAATTGGGACATACCTCTAACCCTGTGAAGGAAGTTTTTTGACTCCAGGCTAAGCAACATTTTCCTGTTGGAGGCATGCATTGGTGGTTTGTGAAGTTAACAGTTGTGTTCATGAGAGGCACTTGGGAAATAGGAAGTAGCATTCTGTGCAGAGTTATCAACCAAGCACGGTTTCCAGGGTGATGAGGTTGGCCGTTGGAGGCTTGGCAACTTGACGTTAACTTCTGTAGTAGGAGAAAGGTTGAACTAGCAGATCTGTTGCCCCTTTCCCTCTGCTGGGTCATTCCTGTACCATAAAGGAGCCTCCTTAGAGTTATAGTTCACTGGCTCTGGGCTAAAGTTAGACCCCAAAGTTGTAGTATTGATTGGCCCATTATTGTGCTGATTAGCCTGAGACTGTTATCACACACATCTTTTTTTTTTTTGTCGGTCGTGGGGCTTGAACTCTGGGCCTGGGCACTGTCCTTCAGCTAGCTCTTCAGCTCAAGGCGAACGCTCTACCACTTGAGCTACAGCGCCACTTCCGGTTTTCTGGTGGTTTATTGGAGACAGGAGTCTCACGGTCTCTCCTGCCCGGGCTGGCTTTGAACCGCAATCCTCAGATCTCAGCCTCCTGAGTAGCTAGGATTACAGGCGTGAGCCACCAGCGCCCGGCTTATCACACACATCTTTAAAAGGCAGATCCTCCGTTCTGCTGAATTGTTTTTCTGGCACAATCTATTTCTAGTCATGGAGCCATGAACCAACCAGCAACAAAAAGGCTGATAGGGGGCTGGGAAGTTGGCTCAGTGGTAGCGTGCTTGCCTTGCATGCTTGAGGCCCTGGGTTCAATTCCTCAACGCCACATAAGCAAAAAAAAAGGCTGATAGGCTGGTCCAGCTCGATACTCCAATAAATATGTGGGTTTTTCCCTTTTTATGATTTCTAGGTTCTCACCAGATTTTTAAGCTCCTCCACTCCTATTGTGTACTGGTTTGCAGCTCACTTGCTTCAGGATCAAGAGCCACTATTGAGATCCCTAGAGACAGCATCTTCAAAGCCCTGTTCAGAAGACTCTCCACCAGGACAAAGGGTCCCTAGAAATTCTATCATGGTACTCTTATACAACTGGAAAACCTGTTCTCCAGTTACACAATACATTTTAGGCTACTTCCTAACGTACTGGCTCCTGGGACTGCTCCTCCACTGCAACTTCCTGCCTTGGACATGACCTGGAATCCCAAGGGACAAGCTGGAAGCCAAGTTAAATCAGGGTTTAAAAGTGAATACACAGCTGCGCACCAGTGGCTCCTGCCTGTAATCCTAACTACTCAGGAGGCTGAGATCTGAGGATCGTAGTTCAAAGCCAGCCCACAGGAAAGTCCATCAGACTCTTATCTCCAGTTAACCACCAGAAAACCCAGAAGTGGCACTGTGGTTCAAGTGGTAGAGCACTCTCCTTGAGCTGAAAAGCTGAGGAACAGTACCCAGGTCCAGAGTTCAAGCCCCACGACCAAAAAAAAAAAAAAGGTGAAGACACGCTGGGAGACACACTGGGAGTGTGGCTTAGTGGTAGAGTGCTTGCCTAGCATGTGTGAAGCCCTGGGGTTGATTCCTCAGTACCATATAAACAGAAAAAGCCAGAAGTAATGCCATGGCTCAAATGGTAGAGTGCTAGTCTTGAGCAAAAAGAAGCTGGGGACTGGGACAGTGAGCAGTCCCTGAGTTCAAGCCTCAGGACTGGGGAAAAAAAAAACAACTTTATCTGAGAGGCTGGTGATAATACAAGATGTTGCAGGCTTGGACCATATGGTAGCAGTAGGAAAATGGGACCATCGTCTCTAAATGGGACATTTTTTTTGAGGTTTTTTTTTTACAGCAATTAAACAATTCTTAGTTAAATTTGCATTGAATTACAGTTTACAAATAGTAGGGACAGGGTGCTGGGAAGGTGGCTCAGTGGTAGAGCACTTGCCTTGCATGCATGAGGCCCTGGGTTTGATTCCTCAGCACCACATAAGCAAAAAGAAAAAAGCCGGAAGTGGCACTGTGGCTCAAGTGGTAGAGCGCTATCCTTGAGCTGAAGAGCTAAGGGACAGCGCCCAGGCCCAGAGTTCAGGCCCCACAACCAGACCCAAAAAAAAAAATAGGGACAGTAGGTAGTGTCCAGTGGTAGAGTGTATAATGTCCTAGTTATTGATCCCTAGCATGAAAAAAATTGGTGGGCTGAGAAGGTAGCCCAGTGGTATAGTGCTTGCCTTGCATGCATGAGGCCCTGGGTTCCATTCCTCAGTACCATATAAGCAGTAAAAGCCAGAAGTGTTGCTGTGGCTCAAGTGGTAAAGCGCTAGCCTTGAGCTGAGGAGGTGAGGGACAGCACTCAGGCCCAGAGTTCAGGCCCCACTACCGACAAAAAAAAAGTAATAGCTGGGTGCTGGTGGCTACTTAGAAGACCAACATCTGAGGATCACAGTTCAAACCCTGTCCTGGTAGGAAAGTTCATTTGAGACTTATCACCAATTAACCACCTAAAAAAGCTGCAAGTGGACCTGTGATGGTGCAAATGGTACGATGCTAGCCTTGGGCAAAAAAGGGACAGTACCAAGGCCCTGAGTTCAAACCCCAGCATCAGCACACACATTAAAAAAAAAATCTGGGGCTGGGATGTAACTCAGTGGCAAAGCGCTTGCCTAGCAAGTGCAACGTCCTGGGTTCGATCCCCAGTACCAAAAAAGGAAAGACAAAAAAATACAGTTTAAAAAAAAATCTGATAGCCGGGCGCTGGTGGCTCACGCCTGTAATCCTAGCTACTCAGGAGGCTGAGATCTGAGGATTGCGGTTCAAAGCCAGCCTGGGCAGAAGAGACCGGGAGACTCCTATCTCCAATAAACCACCAGAAAACCGGAAGTGGCGCTGTAGCTCAAGTGGTAGAGTGCTCGCCTTGAGCTGAAGAGCTGAGGGACAACGCCAGGCCCAGAGTTCAAGCCCCACAACCGACAAAAAAAAAAAAAAAATCTGATAATAATTTGAAAAAAGTCAAGCTAAAAATGTGAGCTCTACGTTCTGATTTTCCCGGTAAAACTGCATTTCCTGTAGTCAACTTGCTCCAGTCTCAGGCTTAATCACGTATTCTGAAACTTAGGGAAGTGCTGTGATTCCTTGGAGGATGCTCATAGGTCCTTTTTAGCTCCAAAACCTTGACAGCTCCCTCATACATAGAATTATCCCAGTCTAAATGCTTATGTGAGCCGGCGCTGGTGGCTCACGCCTGTCATCCTAGCTACTCAGGAGGCTGAGATCTGAGGATTATGGTTCAAAGCCAGCCACGGTAGGAAAATCCATGAGACTCTTATCTCCAATAAACCACCAGAAAACCAGAAGTGGTGCTGTGGCTCAAGTGGTAGAGTGCTAACCTTGAGCTGAAGAGCTGAGGGACAGCACCCAGGCCCTGAGTTCAAGCCCCACAACTGGCCCAAAAAAAAGACATGTGGAGGCTCAAACATTATTTTGGAGGTATCCCCCATTTCTCCTTTCAGTGATTAGAAGAAATCCTTTCATCCCTGGGTGCCACTCTGAAGGAGTAACTAAGGGAAGGCAGTAACACTGGAGAATAAGGTCAGAAGAAGCAACTCAGCGACCTGGACAGCTGAAAGAGTTCCATCCTGCTTCACGGCCCCTACATTTGGTAGTGAGCCTATCGCTAATGGTAGTATGATCACTGAGCCAGGTAGGAGTTTGGCTTTGTATCTTAGTCCCCATTTGAGCCAAACATTCCAGTAAGTGTACAACTCTTCAAAACAGATGGGTAATCAGCAGCAGCTTCTGGAGAGGCTGAGAGTTGGAATTTTGGACACACTCCCTCCACTTGCCAGCTGAAGGGAAGCTCCTGGCAGAAGGCCAACTCTGTCTGTGGGAGCCTCCGGCCAGCCTGGCCAATGCACACTCCTACCCATTGCTGCTGCCGCCGCAGCCCTACCACAGCCAAGCATTTGGTCCAGAGTCAAATGCTTCTGAAAACGTACACACAGATTGGGGCAGCCCTCTGCCTTCTGCCAAGACACTGAGTGCCCTTCTTGGCAAAAGATGATCACCCTTCCCTGCGTCCCTCCAGCTGGCAGAAACTGTGCCCTCTCTCAGCCAACAGCTGCACATCCAGGGACTTCCAGCCTGTGTGGGAGGAGTTGGAGTCCCCTTTCCGCTTGGCTCTCTATTGCCAAACTAGGAGCACCAGGTTCTTTGCTGTCTGCTTCTCTTTCCCTCCTTTGGGGAGTGATCAGGACTGATTGTTCCTCTATTGGAAGAGGTGATGATGGATAGCCCAGCGTCAGTGATTTCACAGCTCTCCCAGCCTCAGTCTAGTTGTGACGTGAGATCACTCTCCTCATCCCCCCAAAAATCTTCCACCTGAGGACTCCAGGTAAGTGGACACACCTAGTGTGACCTGGAGAAAGACCAGTTTTTCTCTGACCTTGGAAGGAGGTCTAGTTTCTATTCTCTAAGGATCTAAGGAGTGGGCTGACTTTATGGCCAGCAGCTGTCCTTTTATCATCCTATTAACAGTCTTTAACAGTCTGGGAGAGGGACGTGAAGGGCCCAAGACAGGAAGCTTCCTGTTTACCCCCAGGTCTAACAATGCCGCAGCTGGGTTGGGCGGCTATGGTTTCAGAGAAAAGTCATTTCCTTCTGAGACCCTGCTAAAACAGAAACCAGACACTTCTTGTACCTAGAAGTACATGGCTCTTTGTTCTTTAATGAAGGTGGGAGGAGAGGGAGGGTTTGACATGTCTTTACCAGTCCCCTGGGGGAGGAAAAAAGTCACTTATTCTTAACAGACAGACCTGCTCTCCATCCAAAAATGTAATGTGCAGGCCCAAGAGATTTTAAATCCTTGGATCCTTTTGGCAATTGTTTATTAAAATCTATTTTAGAGAACTAAGGACTCAGCTATTCTCCTGTCCTCGAATAACTGTCTAACAAGTTCCTAGCTGAAACACAGCAACATTAAGATAGAAAGTGGTAACTTCTGAGGAGTAAAAGAACACTTAGCTGGGTGCCAGTGGCTCACACATATATTCCTAGCTGCTCAGGAGGCTGAGATATGAGGATCATGGTTCAAAGCCAGCCCAGCCAGGAAAGTTTGTGAGACTCTTAGCTCTACAAAAAAAAAAAAAAAAAAATCCAGAATTGGGGGGGAGGGGAGGGCATCCAGAAGTGGAACTGTGGCACTGTGGCTCAAGTGATAGAGCATTAGCCTTGAGCAAAAAAAAAAAAGTCAGGGAAAGTGTTCATGCACTGAGTTCAAGCCCCAGGACTGGCAAATAAGAATACTTTTAAGTTCGTGTGATGAGGACAAATTACAGTTTACAGTTTTAAGTGTATATTTAGAGAAGTATAGATGAGGTACAGAGCAAGTTTTCTAAATTCTCAAATGTAAATCCTCTCTAGTTTGGAATACCTGAAAAGACTTGGTAGAAAAAATGGTAGTTGAGCTGCTCTGAAAAAAATGGGTGGGATTTGAAAGCTGAAGGTAGAGAGGAATGTAGATGATAGGAAATGGAACAGAAAAGGAGAGCTAGATTTGAGTGGAGTTACTAAAATCTAGCTTTCAAAACTGGCCCAAGCCCCTATCTCCTGGGTAAACAAGGCAGATACTGAATTTCTAAGGTTCACTTTACTCTTCTGCAACTTGTAGATAATACAGTTAGCCCTCCCCCATCTGTGGGTGAGTCCCACATCTGTAGATCCAACCAACTCGAGTGAAACAACACCACAAAAGGGATTGTCAGAAAGGAGGTGTCCCTCTGTAGCCCAAATGACCCTTGAACTTGCACCCTTCCCAAGTGTTGGGATTCCAGGGTTGCTGGGATTATGTCTGTATGTATTTCTGTTTCATTACCTGTCATTTTCCCTGAACAACTCAACTTCCACTGAACCAAAAAGGTAAAAATATAGATAGACCTGCTAAGATTTTTAAGAAAGCCAGTTTTCCTTAAGTATTGAAACAAGTAAAAGTGAGTGGCAAACATTTTTAAATATTCTGTTTAATCCACAAGCTTTTCCTTTCAGTTAAAAAACAAAAACAACTATGGGCTGGGAAGGTGGCTCAGTGGTAGAGTGCTTGCCTTGCATGTATGAGGCCCTGGGTTCGATTCCTCAGCACCACATAAAACAGAAAAAGCTGGAAGTATTGCTGCGGCTCAAGCATTTGTAGAGTGCTCACCTTGAGCTGAAGAGCTGAGGGACAGTGCCCAGGCCCAGAGTTCAGGTCCACAACCGGCAAAAAAACAACTAGACAACTCAGTGAAACCAAGACACTATTTCAAAGTTTGGGTCATTTTAACTGTCAAATACGAGCTCTAG